AGGGCATCTGACACCCTATTCTGGCATCCACCGACATCTGAACCCATGTACACATAACCACACACACACACACACACACACACACACACACACACACACACACACAAATGTACATAATTGAACATAAAATAATAGAATTCTGAGTGGGGGAAAAAACCTTCTAGCATCTGTCCTCTGTGTTTGAAGGTAAACTCTTCCCTCTAGAATCAGAAGTGAAATAAATGCATATCCTAAGTTCATAATTGTCCTGGACATTTTACCTTGCATAAACAATATGAGGAAAAGAAAGAATAATGAACTGTTGTTAGCCATGGACAATACAGGACCCCAAGCTAGGGACAAGAAGGTGCATCTAACAGGGTTGCTGCATGCAAGGTGTTCTTTCTTACCTAAAAATCGGTTCTATGTCCTTATGCCCTTAGCAATCAGGAGAATGTAAACTAAAACTGCTTTGAGATTTCATCCGACCTCAGTCAGAATGGCTAGGGTCAAGTAAACAACTCACCCCAAATGCTGGCCAGAGTGTGGGGGAAGGGGAGCCCTAGTTCCCTGCGTGTAGCATTGCAAACTGGTGCAGCTACTGGAGATCAGTGAGGAGAATTTCTTCAAAGTTGAAAGTATATCTTCCAAATGAGCTGGGTGCAGAGGCACTTGCTTGGATACTTCCATTGCCTGTCTATTAACAATAGCTAGGAAGTGGAACCGGCCTAGGCAGCCATCAGAGTGGCTGGCTAGTGAAAATGTGGTATATATACACAATGGAATGTTAACTGACCTCAAAGAAAAATGAAATGTGTAAGTAAATGGATGGACTGGAAAATATTGTATGAGTGCAGTAACCCAGATGCAGATAGACCAAGCATATAATTTAGCTGCAGAAGCCAGGAAAGCAGAGAGGAAGCATGGCCAGGCACAGAGGAGGAGCTCCGGAGATGGGAACAGCAGAACACAGGTGTGATAGAAGGGGAAAGAGGGAACGTGGGAGGGTTAATTGGGGTTGGGGAAGGAGAGTAACAGAGCAAGAGGCAAAAAGAGATAAATAACACTAAGGATGTTTGAAAAGTCACAGGGAAGCATTTTATAAACTTATTTAAAAGTACATTGCATGTTTGTGTGTATACATATGTAAATATATATTAATATAATTCACGTATTTGTGATACATACCCATACATATACATCCATACATAGCTTAAAGGAAGTTATGCCATAAAGGAGCCACAGTTCTGTCTATAAAGAACTCCAGTGCCAGGTGAGCGATACCTTTCTTTTAGTTGTTAGGGTGGGCTCCAATATACCCTCCCCACCGAAAACAAAAATAAAAGCACAGGCTATTACTGTTGCCTTTGGTTGCCTCCCAGAACTTGAAGATAAGGTCCCATTGCTGAAGACACCACACCTTAAGTCACAGGGCTTGACGAATCAAGCTGCTGCTGACCTGGAAGGCTCCTCCCTGGGGATCAGTTCCCATAGTACTGGAAGGTTCTCTGCAAGTTGCCAAGGGAGAAAAGATATCAACCAGCCCACCCAGCTGTAAAACCCTGTGAACTACCACAATAACTGGGCTGACAAGATGTCTCCAGTGATGTAATAGTGGCACCTGTATCTTGGTAGTAACCAACAATTGTCAAATTGGACTTAAGACCTGCTCTATAAAAGTGAACTATAAGTCCAGGCAAGAATCTGTGGCTGGAGAGGTCATATACCCCAGAAGAGGGTCTAAACTTTCCTAATTTAGTATAGCATCCAACTGTATTCTAAATACATGATACCCATTAAGTCACACCCATCATCAACGACTCTTCTTTCTGCAGTAGACAGAGGCTACTACTACTGCAACTGCTCAAAAGGTAGGCAAGTGACCATGGGCTGCTCGGCCCCAGTTGGTATATCCACAACACGTCCCCTACACCTTAGGCTCAGGGAACATGATGGAAGAGGGAAAGAGGAGATTTTGCCTGCTGCAAAATAGTACTTATTAGGGATAAGGAAGGCAAGTTTGTGAAACCTCAACAATATGTCTGCTTCAACAAGACTTGTAAAGTGACCACACCAGGTAACATGCCAGTGTGAAGGGAGGAAAATTTCATAAGGCCCAGTCCCTGCATGCAGAGTTACAGGCAGTCAATGGCTGCTGAGTAGAGGTGGTGGGGGTAGGGTGGATTGACGAGAATTAGTTTTCTCTAGGGACGAGCACCCTGATAGGTTATCCAATCTTAAGCTGTCAGCCTCGAACACTTATACAAAAAGGCAAGACTAATTGGAGTCAATAGATTGTGTGTGTATAACAATTTCAGAATCATGAATTTGAGAGGCTAAGTGTGGGGACATGGAGGAGTTGGAGGGAGAGAGTCAGGGGTAGAAATGTCAGTACAATGAACTCATATATGAAATTCCGAAAGATAATTTTGAAAGATTTTTTCTATAGATTTCAAAAGATAATGCCTTTGTTTTTTTGTTTGTTTGTTTTTTTTTTGTTTTGTTTTTTTCCAAGACAGAGTTTCTCTGTGTAAAAGCTCTGGCTGTCCTGGAACTTTTGCTGTAGACCAGGCTGGCTTTGAACTCACAGAGATCCACCTGCCTCTGCCTCCCAAGTGCTGGGATTAAAGGCGTGCGCCACCACTACCCGGCAAGATACTTTTTAAAGGTTAAACTGCTAGTGACTAACAAGAATTTATTAATAAAGAACTCATCAAAAGCTAGTGCCAAATAGAGAGAGCTGGTCATGTTTACAGCTGACTGGGGCATACTCCTGTAAGTCTTTTAAAGATGGTATGTACTTTTAATGAAGCTTTAGTAAGAATTTTAACAAGTTTTATTTTGTGGTAGTTGATAAACATTGTAAAATTTACACAAAAGGGCAAAAGGCAAGTTTCACTTAAAAATACCAGAAAATTAACTACTAGATCTACTTCCCTGTAATTTTGTATACTTAAATGTCAAATAATATATTCTCAAATATTCATGCCAGTCTTGTTCAAAACAGTGAAATAAAAACAAAGCAAAATGCAGGGGCTGGGAGATGGGTCAGTACATAAAAGTGCTACCGTGGCAGCTCACAACCGCCTGTAACTCCAGTTACAGGGAATTCAACTCTCTCTTCCAGCCTCCGTGTGTATCAGGCATTCACATGGTGCACACACAACATGCAAACCAACACTTACACACACAAAATAAAAAAATGAATAAATATTTAAAAACTAAAAAATATGATCAGAAAGAACTCAGATGTCTATCAACAACAGAGAAGATAAATAAATTATACTATATTTATTTAATGGAATAATATAATAAAACAATAAAAAGAATCAATGAACTATACCTATGAGCAGCTTGGATAAAAATTGTAAGTATAATGACTACTGCAAAAAGATTATAAATACATGTAAATTTTCTCCAGAGTTTCCAAAATATTATAAAGAATATATATGGTGACAGTTGTGTGGTTCCTAGTCCAAAAGTTTGGTTGATGGTTGTTTGTGACTGATAGCTTTAGACAGAGACAGGCAAGTGGATTCAAGGAAGGGATTTTTACAAGGTACTCTAAAAGCATGAGGAAGTTTTGTTTTCTAAGGTGGATGGTGTTAGGTAGCTAGATAATTAGAGAAGCCTCATTCCCTGGTAACAATAATTACATGGGAATTCAATTTATTAGTCAAGAAAACATGCCTAGACCATTACCCACAGACGATACGCTCATCTCCATTTCTTTCACCCTCAGAGACAATTATTGCTCCCTGATCAACTATCACATGAAACCGTTGTTTGTACAAAACGCCCTCAAATTTACATCAGTGGCACCAAACTACCTTTCTCATGTCGAATCTGCATATTAGCTCATTATTAATTTGCAGTACCTCTTCATCGGCACTCTTATTGTGCCCAGGCACTCGTGAGGCACCGGCATTTTCAGGCTCTCACACTAGTGAGCAACGCTGTTGAGACAGGGCCTGAGCCACCACACTGCACTTCCTTCCTTACGGATGGATCTGGTTCATTCTGTTTCCTCTCCATGACGTCAGATGAGTAAACTGTCTTCTGTTTGGCAGTTTCCTTTTTCACTCGCAAATCTACCAGGCACATCTTTGAGCAGGACTCTGTGTGCATGCTTGAGCGTCTTCACTGTCCGTTTTGTTAGAATCTGCCATATTGTTTTTGTCGAACTTATGAGTAAGTGCATGCACACTCCGTTTTCTTCAAGTCACCACTCACACTCACTATAGTCAGATACACGGTGTCAGTTCCCAAGGGACAGAAAAGGTTATTTCATCTTGAGTTTGTATTTCCCCGATTTTTCAGTGGTGCTAAAAGTTTTCATCTTTTAGGCCTACCAGTTGCTGTTGAAATTCTTTGCACACCTCTCTTAGGAGCTGCTTATTGAAATTGGGCTGTTGGGCTTTTTAAAAATCGGTTTGTTAGAAAGGTTTGAGATGTGCTACATAAAAAGAAGGCGCTGTGGCTGTAGCTCTGAGGGCAGGTGCTTGCTTAGCAGGCACAAGGCCCTAGGTTCAACTGCCAGAACCATCAATAAATAAATAAGTAACACAAATTTGGGCCTCAACGGATCTCTTAGCAGTCGGGAGTGCTTGGTGTTCTTGCAAAGGACCTGGGTTCAGTTTTCAGCACTCACATGGTGGCTCACAACCACCCCAAACTCCAGTTCCAGAGGGTCTGGTACCTTCTCTTGACTTCTGTATGAACCGGGCTTGGGCGCGGTACACACACATTCATGCGGGCAAAACACTTGCACATATAGAATAAAAACAAATCTTTATTTTTAAGGAAGCATCAGCAAAACATGTGCTAAATATCTTCACCCAGTCTTTTTTTTTTTTAACATTGTGTTTGGTACCTATGTGATACACATTTTTTAAAAATATTCAACATACGCTCATGTAACTGTCTTTCCTTTATAAGTTGTGTTCTCTGCCTCCACCCCAGACCCTGTGCATAGAAAGGAAAGGATAGCAGTGTATTATTATTATTATTTTGACTTTCAGAAAACTACCAAGTGGCTTTCCAGACTGGTAGTTCACTGTACCTAAACGAAGATGTTTATGATAGTGCGGATGTTAAAAGAAAGGGTTACAACAAAGTGGATATTACCTGGATCCTGCTCATTCGCTACTACATACACCTGCAAAGAATTAACAACATGAGCAAGCTGCTAGGTGAGTCTCAATATGGTTTAAAAAGTGTGTGTGTGTGTGTGTGTGTGTGTGTGTGTGTGTGTGTGTGTGATTCTCCTTTTCCTACTTAGGTCACATTTCTAACGTAGAGTATAAAGTTGTTTTGACATCTTCCTGATGTCAACATATATTATCTTCCAATATCATCATCAGATTTACTTTACGTTTCAGGAATTTGAACCTGGCATAAAGGGAGCTTCAACTAGAATAGTATTTCAGTGTAACTTGTGTCTATAGAAATTCCACATATCTTCTTTCATATGTTAAAAAACAGCATGACAGAGAGGTAGCCAGTGGCTTCCCAAGATTGCCAAGTGGTCCATAGAGTGAAATAGCTAAAAACCAGGGACTACAGAGTGACAGCTTACAAATGAATAAGATAGAATCTGGCTTTAGGATGTGTTCCAGGATCTAGTGTGTAAAAGAGATGGAATGTATGACTTTGGATAGGATATTTAATTATAATTTAAAAAATCACCCCCTGTCTTAGTTTGGGTTTCTATTGCTGTGATAATACACCAAGACCAAAAGTAATTTGAGGAGGAAAGGGTTTATTCCAGTTTACAACTCTCAGGTCACACTCCATTGCTAAGGGAAATCAGGGCAGGAACTCAAGGCAGGACCTGGAGGCAGGAACTGATGCAGAGGTCATGGAGGAGTGCTGCTTACTGGCTTGCTCCCTGTGGTTTTGCTTAGCTGCTTTCTTATAGCACCCAGGACTACCTGCTTAGGAGCAGCAACACCCCCAGGAAGCTGGGCCTTCCCATGTCTGCCATCAATTAAGAAACTATCACACAGGCTTGCCCACAGGCAGGTTTAGTGGGGGCATTTTCTCTATTGAAAATGTTTCCTTTTCCCAAATGACTCTAAGCTTGCATCAAGTTGACATGAAACTAGTCAGCACACCCTGTAAAGAATATCTAGGAAAACTGGTGAAGCCCACTCACACCAGCCATTTCCATGATTATTTTGACAGTATGAGTGTTTTATTATGCCTTTGTGGACCCTTGAAGTTAGTGACCTAGTATTGCTCATGCATGAAATCAACAAAGACTGGTCCATGCCAGGGTGTTGTTGTTGATTTTGCTTTTTTGGGAGGCCTTCCACCCAGCTCCCAAGTAAATCACGCACAGAAGCTTATTCTTAATTATAAATGCCTGACCTTAGCTAGGCTTGTTTCTTTTCAGCTTTCCCTAACTTATCTCATCTACCTTTTGCCTCTTCTGTAAATCTTACTTCTACTCTATGGCTGGCTATGTAGCTGGGTAGCTGGCCCCTAATGTCTTCATCCTTCCTCTCTCGTTTCTTGATCTTTTCTCCTCCAAGGTTTCTCCTTCTATATAGTCTCTCTGCCTGCCAGCCCCACCTATCCTTTCTCCTGCCTTGCTATTGGCCGTTCAGCTCTTTATTAGACCATTAGGTGTTTTAGACAGGCACAGTAAAACAACTTCACAGAGTTAAACAAATGCAACATAAAAAAGTAACACACCTTAAAATAATATTCTACAACAGGGTCCTGTAGCTAAAGTTTTCCTGCCTTGCCCACAGTCAGGACAAATCTCTGTCACGTGTCAGTCCCACAGCTGCTCAGACCCAACCAAGTAAACCAGAGACTTATTTTGCTTACAAACTGTATGGCCGTGGCAGGCTTCTTGCTAACTGTTCTTATAGCTTAAATTAATCCATTTCCGTAAATCTATACCATGCCATGTGGCTCATGGCTTACTGGCGTCTTCACATGCTGCTTGTCATGGCAGCAGCTGGCAGTGTCTCCTTCACTCAGCCTTCCACTTCCCAGAATTCTTCTCTCTGTTAGTCCCACCTATACTTCCTGCCTGGGCACTGGCCAATCAGTGTTTTATTTATACAGAACGATATCCACAGCAGGGTCCGGTGTCTGAAAGGCAACCAAGGCAACCAAGCTCAGTCACAGAATGGCTGAGCACAGAGCTCAGGCATTAGCAAGGAAATGAGCTATCACCGGGGAAGGTTTTAGGGTTGAAAAGCTTATTGTGCTGTGGTCTGGAGTGACAGAAACTCACCCAGAGGGGAAGGATGTGGACTTGGGCCGGACCTGCCACCACAGTGACCAGTGACCATTGCACCTAACCCAGTAGCTGGCACTTTCCACAGAAGCATTCCTGTCTCTTCTTTTACCCTTTGGGCTTTCTTAGGGTTTTGTCCAGTCTGTAAACATAACCTGTATGTGCCAAGGCTCCCCACACCCAGCGGTGACCTTAACCAGTAAGGGAAGAGACAGTAGAAGAGCATTGCACCTTCTGTCTTAGTGGAGATTGTCCTTCGTGTTTTTGTTTATTTGTTTGTTTGTTTTTCCCCCAGAAGATCTTAGCAGGACCCATCCCCTTGTTTCCCATGGGCCCTGCCCCATTCACTTTTTCACCCTTCTAACACTCCCTTTCTCTTGGCCACAGTTGTCTGGACCATCCACAAAGGTCTTTGAGTTCCCTTTTCAGAAGAATATGACACATCTAAATCTCCACGACAGGGTCTGTTTTGTGTGGAACCCAAAATAAGACAGGCAGACAGAACAGATGGTGCAGTTCTTAGCATTTACAACCAGCAGCAAATCCTTGTGTGTGTCTGAGATTTCCCTTGAAGCCTGTGGTAATCAGCAATCACTCGCATATAAATCCCATGGAGCAAGGTCATGGGGAGACACTAGCTGGTTGGTGTACCATAGCGGTCAGTGAATGAATACCAAGACTGAGACCATTCTGTCCCTCACATGAGCCTCAACAATGATCTTTCTGTTCCCTAAGCATCTGCAACTCCAGTCTCAGGGATTTCTTTGCCCGATGATATGCTCCTCACATCCCTGTTCAACTCTGAACTGATTTTGCGCCAAAAAGAAATGCATCTTTTCCTGAGACGATTCCTACAACTCTACTCTTCCTCGTGCATCGAAGGGTTTCCAAGGGAACTTCTTCAAGGTGTGGAAAACTTCGTTCCACTAGAGAAAGTCCTGTTTGATTCATCAGGCAAGGTAAGCTTCTAAAACATGTATCTCCACGAGCTGTCTTGGAGTCACCCTCCTATTTCAGCCGCCAAGTGGTACAGAGTTCCAAGATGGCTCATTTCTGTAGAACCGCATAGGAGGACCACCAAGTCCCTGCGATTTCAGGATGATTCCCACTTCAAGTCTTCTTTCTTGTCATTCCCATTGAACTTTGAAATGCTCCAGAATCTTCTCTATTCCTGAAAATCAATATATTTCAGGCAGCCATTTGATCTGATGCAAATTCCAGTATTATAACTTTGCCATACCCTAATATGAGTCTTTCTAAATCCACACCCAAGTTCTTTTTTATTTTTTTTAAAAGTGTAAAATATTCATTGTACTTCTCACAACAGTTAATATAAATAGATTAAAGAATTAAAAGCTTTAGATGAATTAAGAGTCGGAGAACTTTTTATTTGGGAAAAGTATTAAATTAGATGGATTTTTTGTTTTTACAAAATATGTAATATAAAAACTTTAGAGATTCCCATTGAAAAGACATAAAAAGATGAAGTTTCAGGAGTTACTTTTAAAATCATCATGGTCTTGAGTAATAGAAATGTTTAAACAAGCTACTGAAATGAGAGAGTTTGATTATACTGAACAAGTCATTTAAAAAATAGGAATATGGACTTGAAATTTAACAATCAATCAACATTTGTTGAATCCCTACAGTATGCCAAAGCAACACTGACTGACAGAGACAGATAATGTAGAAAATCAGAGCCCCTGAGTGCAGGCTTGGTCTAGTAGTAGAGAAACAGATCTTAGGTTTGACCAAGAGGAGGTTAGATTACTTTCTTTCTAAGGGACATCACAAGGTGAGTGTGAAAATTAAAATGGATTATTTTTATGGTTTTAGTTTAAATTGCTACAGGAAATGCTCAGAGAATATTTGATGGTTTAAGTATAATCAAGACACTTCTCACTATGACCTCAATAGCACAGGAAAGAGTGTCAAGATCTGACAGATG